ACGGATTCTGACATTTTCAGAACATTACGGATCGAATGCCCTGAGCCTTATTCGATGGAGTTGCCCAAAATATTGTCCGTATGGCATGCTTTCTGCCCTTTGTCAACATTTCTCCGATGATCTTTTCAGATTTTACAAGAATGTTTGAGAAATAATGTATTGAAATGGGGACGGTTGGAAGTGAAGAAAGCAAGAAGTGAAAGCCGACTTGAAGAGGTCGACGATTCGAAACCACGAAGTTATTACAGCTCCTACGGTTGAGAAATACCGGACGATATTTATGCGGCCCGCCCATTTTCTCACTTTGCCAGTTGCTGATTTCAGGAGTTGGGACGCGAAATCGACTATGTTCACCCTTGGCGCCGCTTCGGTGTCACAAAAAATTAGCTGAAAATGTACAGAGCGCCTTGAACCGCAGCAATATTGTTCTCGCTAGTACTTAGGTTTAGTTGAGATGGCGGATGGATGGAAGATGAAGCCAGCCTCACAAAGGAATTGGGTAGTTCTTACACTAGTTCAATGGCAATGTGGAGTCATGCAGATTTATGCCCCATAAGTAGTCCCAGCATCTAACAAGCCCATCGTCTTACTTGAGCGTTCGGTGGGCAGATGTTGTGCCCTGGCACTCAAAATACCCTCCGCACCCTTCCAGAGCCGGGGCCCGGGGGAGTCAAGCTAGCGCGTAAATTGCCGTCTTCACAATGGAAGCCACAGCTCCAAGTTTGGCTCAGCCTGCAGTGTTTCCGACAGCACTGCCGGAGTGTCATCGGCTGATTCCACCGTCCACGTGATCGCGTTCAAACTCCGCTCTGATGTACGGCATCGTGGCATGCACTGGCATGCACCGCATCACAGCTCAGTCCTAACCAAATCCTCCCTCCAAGTTCTCCAGCATGCATGCTACAGCCCTAATTCATCCGGATATCCGTCTCCCCACAACGAGTCTAACGTCGACCAGAGATTGCCTCGTACACACCGTAGGCTTCGATCCTGGACTGGCGACTCAGACACTACTCAGACTCGTCGTGCCCGTGTGCGCAGACAGAGTCGTTCTTATCAAGTTTTACAGATCAAGGCGAAAGAATGACTCTTGGATGACTCCATTGTATCGATATTCGTCGCTTAGACCATCATAATGTAGCTGTTTCTCCCCGGTCGTCCCTCCCCACATGTGTCTGTCCAGTGTCAGAATATCGCTCTCGGGTCAGGACTCAGGACTCTACACTCCCAAATTCTTCAATGGTCTTAACAACGCCCTTCATGCCGTCTTTATGTGACCCTCTGTGTCCGATTTCACCCGTGTCCGTCTTCGAATCTCCTGTTTGCGCCGGGTGGACTGCCATAATGCATTGCCCAGTATCCCTCGACCTTGCACTCGATCTTGGACTGGCGACTCATGAAAAACCATTCAGAAGTGGAGGGGAAAGCAAAGTCGGCGCAACAGCCCACGACGGAAAGGACTATCGTGGGTCTAGATGACTCGGCCTGCAAAGCGCATACGCCGGATGTCGTTTCACAGTGCAAATATGGGATCCATCAATATCCATCGCTTGGACCACACGATGTCATCAGTTCGTAACGCGTGCTCCTTCTCCGCGGTTGGAGCTTCGACCCTGGCCTATGAACGTCTTTTCCTTCGCAGCCATTACGGTCCACAGGATTTTTCTCGGTCTTTCCTTTCAATCCAGCGCTTGCTGGCCCATATACCGACACAGGCTACTCGCCGCAACAAAGCACGATAGAATGGACTGGATTGAATTTGCCGCTCGATTTCTGGCGCCCTATTCCGAGGCCTCCTTGTCTTTGTCGCCGTCTTCGAACCTCACCGTCGCTGCCCTGCACAAGTCCAATATATCATTCTAATTATACACCTGCTGCATCGTATTTTGTCAAAGCGGCGGCGCTCGGTCTTACATGGTCCTCCACGTTCGCTGCCTCGCCCTTTGAAGAAGAATTCGAATTGTATTGCACCACTGGGGCGGTCCTCAAAAATTTGAACTCCGCCGCGACTTCCTTCACTTCTGGACCGGTTGCTAGAGCAGCAACGTTCTACAAGGAAGCAGCAAGGTAACGAACGGAACCGCGAGGCGCGGCGATCACCGCTTTCAGACGACGCGTTTAGACTTTTTCGCGAAGGACTTTTTTTTGGCTGTATCGGCTTGACATCAGCAGACCGCGAGATGGCGATGAAATCGTGCGTCGCATTCCGCTTCACGGTTGACACAGTTTTCCCCCACCAGTGAAGGACGAGGAAATGGTGAGGTGCGAGGCGCAAGCAAGACGCGGCGATCATCACATTTAAACGTCGAAGAAGGCAGACGGGGTTTTGTGCGCCGTAATAAATGAGTCAGTTCTTGGCTTCCTGAATTTACTCGCAAATAGCCTTTTGAATTTCTCAGTGCGTCGTGCTCGCTCCTGCATTATCCTGCGCGTCGTGCCCCAGCAAATTTCTCAGGGAAGCTCAGACGAACTGGAACGAGGCAGGCAACCCCGCCATCAATGCGCCGACAGCTTTACTAATCTAATGCGTCTTCTTCGTTGCATGTCTCTGTGCGGTCTCTCCGACTCTCCCTTAACCCTTGCGCAAGTGAAGCCGGCTAAAGTCGCGAACTCAAGTGCGCTCGTTCTATGTTGGATTAAATTGCATCCTCCCCGACTTCTGCCGACTTGGTGCAAGACTCATGGTGCATTTATTCACTTTTTGACGTGTACATGCCAAACACGAGACGCTCTTCTTGTGCGCCCCTCGCAACGAATTAATTATACTGATTTTAGGAACCGAGCAGCGCGGCCGCGGGACTTCGCCGTCCTTCCCCGCTTTTGTATAAAGCAGAGGACGACCGACCGCTCATCCTCATCCCTCCTTCCCCTCGACCACCATGGCGCGTTAACTTTCCCTTTCCTCTTTCTCTGTCCTGACCTTATTCCCTTCATTCAGCCTTGACCGACACCACGACCGACATTTCCACTCGATCGACACCTCGACCGGCACCTCGACCGACATCGCGACCGCCACTTCGACTCGACCGACATCGCCACCTAGCTGAGCGGCGGCACGAGCAGGCCGGGGGTACGGTGACGCCAGGTCTGTGCTTCGCGCCACACCTCTGCGTCCCTCCCTGGTTGGGTTATGTGGCAGTGAGCAGAGTCGGCTCAGTCAACTGCGGACGATGCGGAGTCCGTTGCTCGTGCCCCCACTCACTTTGTGCGCCAAAGTGAGTACTCTGACCTCCCCTCCCCTCCCATTTCATACACGCCCCGCTTCGTCGTCGCTAGTCGACGGCAAGCAGGTGTGCTCGCCGTCGCATCATCTCACCTTTTTGGTTTGGGCGGCAAGGAGGTCTAGATCTAAGGGCGCCCCGTCACGGGGACGGTGACTCGGGGTCGGCTTCACACGTCGGCTTCGAGTCGAGCTTCGGCTCACGGCGCCTACATCATTTTTTTTTCCTTTTCTATCTCATGTATTCGTAGTTTATCTCTTGTATTTTTTTATCTTTCAAATCAACTTCGTTGCACAATATCTATCTCTGTCCTGAGTTTCTCTTCAGTTCAACCAACTACCTTAACTTCAAGCCTTCAACGCGCTGTGCTAATTTGGACGGGACTTGATGCGAAGTACCATTCTCGGCATCCCGGCCTTTCTCTTTTCGTTTCGCACCACCATGTCGGTTCCCTGCGATGCTCACTTAAGTATATGCTGTTACTCAACGGCCATCCTTCTTGCGCTTGTTTATAACCATTTGCTGCGCTAGAAACCATTCAACATGCTGCAACCCTCAAGCAACCCTAGTTCTAGCCAAGTTTACCGAATCTCAATCATGAAGTAGTCCCGACCATGCCATTCTATTCAGCCGACTTCTCGCTTCGATATCGACCGCCCAATAGCACAACGGTTAGTGCATCTGCAACAAATAAAAGTTCGTTTACTGTATTTTTTCAATCAGATCGACACGGGGTGTGACGCGTGACCTACTGGGAGCATTTCGACAATTCGATACCGCCGAAATTTTCGCGTGACCTCTGGAAAAATCTCGAAAATTTCAACGCGAAAATTCAGTTTTTTACCGTTTTTGAGAGATTTTATCCTGCGTGACGCGGATTTTCGGTTCGATAAAGGCCTGAGTGACGCGTGACATCGAGCAAAATTCGATATCGATACCGGGGTGCGTGACGCGTGACTGTCGACCTGATTGAAATAATACAGTACGTCGACTTATGCAGAAGATCCTCGTTCAATTCGGGGTCGGGCGATGCGGCGCGAGTTGTTTCTCTCTTTTGTCGTTCTTGCTCCTTGTTTTTTGGGTTCGTTTTTCAACCAATCACTTCACTTCCAGACGACCATATTTTAGCGCTTTCGGCTGAGATACCAGACAAAGATGGTGCGGGCCATCCGCCGCTCGCAATCTCCGTATAGGCGCTGTTTAATCTTTAATCTCGGAATCCCTCGAGCGTATCGACAGTGACGTTCACCACCCTCAGACGGACATGTTGACCGACACAGATTTCCCTGGTTGAAATGAACATTCCCGGAGGTTCAACTCCACACTGATGGAGTCTCGTAGAATACAGTAGAATACTCTAGATGCATGGCTTGTATGTATATAAGGGCTCGAAAATGCGGCCCGATAATTCATTATTTCCTCTGCTCCTCCCACTTCCATTCTCAACAAAAAGTACCCGAGCCACCAGCGTAGACTAGTACTCGACTTCGAATGCAAGGTTGAGTTCGAGGCTACACCTAGTACGTCGGCGGCTGCAGGACTTGTCGTTCTTGAGTTGAAAAACAAGAACAGCAGCCAGAAAGTGGTGATGCTACGGACGTGCAGCCTTTCGAGGCACTCTGAGTGTAGTAGTTTGCTTTGTTCCCTTTGTGGAATAGCTACATATTATCTGGACCTTATCCAGGAGGAGAAGGCTTGCATAGTGGCAAGACGCAAGCGTGGAAGACCACGTGGCACGAGGTATGCCCTTGTATCCGGCCTACCTCTGCATTTTTCAACCGCCCAATAGCACAACGGTTAGTGCGTCTACGCAATTTCGGCCATGATTCCATATGAATGTAGAAGCTTAAGGTGCCAGTTCGACTCGGGGTTGGGTGATATGACGCAAATATTTCATTTTCCTGTTTTTCTTCTTTTTTGCAGTACGTTTTTGAACCACTCGCTTCGCTTTTGAATCGAACGTATTGTAACACTTCTCAGCTCAGGACAAAAGATCCTAACATGGCATACACATCCGGCATACAGATCCTGGCTGAGCTGTACCAATATCTTGTCCAGCTCAGAGCTGCGCAAAAGTTCTCGACCGAGGTGAACTGCATTCAGCCACATAAAATGAACTACTCTGAGACATGCGTCCCTTCTCTAGGCGTTGCTCTCTTCCGCTTTCTGGTCCTAGCCCGGCTCGATCCGGCATGAAGCCTGCTTGTTCTTGCGGATGCAACGCCTTACGATTTGGACTCTTGTGGTTCAAAACGATGTTGAACTCGACCGACAGCGCACGCCTCGCACATTCGCTTGGATCGATGTGGTAATCATCTGCAGCGAGGCTTTCCAACCCGAGTCCGAATGTCCAGCTTCAACACCAGGTCCTTCCGGCGGCAGTTGCAGCTTAATTTGGTATTCTGGTGGGTAAATGAAATTCATCTTGTTCTCCGGTTACTTGATTCCTCACTCCAGCTTCGTTTCAAGTCATGCTAGGGAAAGTAACCTATCCCTTAGCATTCCTATTGAGGTTCCGCTGACGTGTCCAAAGAGGTTCAATCGGAGTTGAACAGCGGGCAGTACTAATATGCGGTGACGATGGGGAGCCGGCCCAGCGCCAACATGTCGTCCATCAGCCTTTCCGCGAGAATCAGACCCCTTCTAATTCGTGGGAGTCCGGCGTCCGGCGGCTCTGCCTGCTGCACAAGCACCGCGTTTAAGCTCAATCTATACCGGGCCTGTGCAGGTATGTTTATGTCACCTACGCAGACCTACACAGACCCTCTGGGACTGTCACCTTAGCAGACCCTGTATATGTCTGTGGATATCACCTCGGCGACCTCAACAGAGGGTCTGTCTAGGTAATTTTACCTAGCAGACATGTGCTTAGGTCGGGAAAGATCCTTTCCACAGACCTATACATAGCCGGACGAGGCCATCTAACCACAGGCTCTGTATAGGTCTGATAGGTACCTTGCCAGACCTCCACACACTCTGCCTAGACTCGTCTTAAACGCGGTGAAGCCGCACGATCCCCTCGCGTACGCGCGCATCGGCTGATCGGAGCGCGAACAAGCACGGTGGCCGCCTCGCAAAGTGCACCAAGTGCAGCTCGATCCGCGCGTCTTGCCGTGCGCGCGCCTCCCAATCCGCTTGCCGCACGGCTGCATCTGTACTCGGGGTTCCTGCCTGCTCTGCTACAGAAATTGGAAGGGGAAAGGGAAGTACATCGGGCCCGACGACACCGGGGCTGCAGTTCGTGAAGTCCAGGAAGACGTAGAGCGCGGCGCCCCGATGGGAGAGCATGCTCCCCAGCAATTGGGTGTAGATAGCGCGCCTTTGCTGTTGGTAGGTGTCGTGCAAGAGGGTGCGCATGAACGCGCGGTTCCGCGTTGTGAGGTTCTCAGCTTTGGAGATCATCTTGTCAACGTGTCTGCCGTTTCAATAAATTGCAAGATGTTGACGCACTGAGCCGCAGTGAATGGAGGTTCTCGCATATATTGCGATGGCCCGGCCAATCTTGTTGTTGGCAGGATTTATGACAGTAGAGCGTCGTGCGACAGCGAGCACAGGCGTGCAGTTGTCTCCGCTCCTGGATTTTTCCGCACTGGTTGCACTCCAGGTAAGACATTCTTGACGAGGGCACTGTGGTGAACTCACCTCGAGATTGTCGCAGGCGCCGTACGTCACATACTCCGCCGAGTCAAAATATCGTTTCACCCTCAGTCGGTCCTTAGTGACAGACATAAAGCCATCCCATTCAGGAGAGATTGATGAATCTGTAAGGCGTTCGGTCTTCGCAAGTTCCTCCGTCGCGGGGAGGATTTTCTCCAGCTGGTGAAGCACCGAATAATAGACGGCGGACTCTTCGATTTCGCGCAACAGTTTCCGCAGGTCGTCGTTGTCAGTCTCGTTTGTTCGACACGTTGCGCAGTACAGGATGCCGCGAAGGATACCGGCGCGGAGAGCCTGTGGGATCCAGAGGTAGCCATTTTCGTGACACAGCTCGGCCAGGAGGAGGCCAACGCACTCGCACAGGGTTTCCGGGACGTCCTTGCCGGAAAATTCGTCCGCCAGCGAAGACATCATGTCTACCAGACACCGCACAATCCCATTTACCCGTAGCGCACTGTGGAAGGGTCCGCTGGCCGGATCTTCCACGCGAAACGCAAATGCAATTCCCCGTTTGATACCCCGGAGAATGCCCAGACGGTTGGACATGGCGATGTGTTGGCAGACGAGGCCAGCTAGATCGGCGAGGCTGCCTCCGGCGCCTTCGATGTATTGGACAAGCTGTTTTTCTGGGATTGGGCCCTCCCCTGCAGCAAGGAGCTTGTACAGGCCGGCGTATCCCGGAGTGCCCATATCTTCCGAGGCGATAAATGTGCGCCAGGCTTTCATTGCCAACATGCGGACGTCCGGGAACATATCGACTGCTTCCAACGGAATGCGCTCGATGAAGCCGAAGAGACCACCGAGCACGAGCAGATCGCCAGGCGCGTCTGGGATCGCCTCTCCGTGCGTGTATATGAAAATCATCCAAGCCCAAACTCGAGGCCACAGATCAACCAACGCAGCCGCTGGGAAGCCCTGCCAAATGTTGAGACAAGTTGAGAGCGCAAGCATCGGCCGCTTGATGAAGTCGATATTGACAGGAGAGGTCAAGAATATGCGCTCGAGAATCTCCGGGCTAGGAATGTTGCCGGGGTCGAACATCTCCCAGCATACAGGTAGGAATAAGTGTTTCTGAATCGTCGCAGGTGCGCCGGTACCAGTGAGGGCGAGTACACGATCAAGTTCCTCCAGCCCACCGGCTGCGGCTCCGATAGCAACCCGCTGACATGGAGATTAGCTATCGCGGTGATGTAGAGGGTGAAATGAGCTCGACATACTCGAATTGTTAGCGGGAGCTGGTTGAAATTGCGCCGATGGAACACTGGGTGCATGAGTGTTTTGAAGGTCTCAGAGTCAGATGTCACTTATAGTCCGACGGTCTGCCAGGATCATAACAGCTCCCAATAAAGGAAGTACCTATTCAACCACCACAACTTCTGCAGCAGATTCTTCGCCGACACACCGAAAAGATCAGGGCTTCGAACTTCATCGCCGTCTTACCCATCCAAGTCTGGCCCCAAATATTGACAGATTTATTTCGCGTTATGGAAGGTTGAGTGGCATCTGCAGGGGAGTAGCAAGGATGGATGATAACAAGCAAAGCACGAACTGGATTCGCACGGCACCAAACAGAAATCAGACTGTTCAGTGAGCCGCAATCGGTCGATGGAATAATACTTTATGGCTACTGTTTCGTCGGACGCCATTTGACTTGTACAATCCAGGGTTGGCTCTGAACAATTCTCACTGGGTAGGACTCCATCGTATTGAAACACAGTCCTACAAAAATAGGATAATGCAGCATCAAAATGGCACCAACCAGCGTGAAAGTTCAGCGCACAACAGGCTTTATGAGTAAGGGTAGCTGATTCCCAGCCGCCATATCACTCAGCACTATGGGGCGCACCACAATCGCGTTCCCCTCCTTACCGATGTCTGCGACCGGCACGGCGAGCTCGAATTCAAAGCCGCGGACGAGCGTGAAAAGAAGGGCCTTGGTCCTATGGGGAACAATTTTTACATGAGGTAGTGGTCGACGGTGGCTAGAAGGCAGACTTACTCGACAAGCGAAAATCTGAAGCCAATGCAGCTGCGGGGTCCGCCGAGAAAGGTCATCATGTGGCCCCACACTCCGGGGATCGCGCTGGAGATGGGCTTGTCGGCGTCGGCTGACCAGCGCGCGGGTCTGTGAGTGGATGTCAGATTATGATTGACTATCAGCGGAAGGGGTGGGGGGAAGGGAGGCAACCAAAGTGAAGAACAAGAAATAATACACACACAAACTGCTTGGCGTCCGGGCCCCATATCTCCTCGTCGCAGTTCAGCGCGTGGATGGGGATGCGGATGTTGTCTCCCTTGCGTACCCTGAATGGGATTCACAAGAAAGGTCAGCGAGTAATATAATAGCGGTGCGGAGGGAAGGAAAATTAAAGACGAACCGGATACTCTCATGCACCGTCCCATTGGCGTCTGTGACAGGCGTGGCGAGCGGGAGAATGTCGTCGCGCGTGGCCATCCGGCCTTAAGATTATGTTATACATACAGTGAATATAAGAAAGCAAGGAAGATTTTTGCTCACTGGTAACGGGGACGGGTGCGTACAGCCGGAGGACTTCCCGTACGACGCATTCCAGATACGGGAGGGAGTCGAGCTCGTCCATGGTTGGATTGTCCGTCGACAGTGTGAAGAGCTCCTCACGAAGGCGGGTCTGTGCGTCTAGGTCCTGAGTCAGAGCGAATAGTGCCCATGTCACGGCGGTGCTGGAACAGTTAAAAAGTGAGATGAGGAGGTTTTGGCATGATGAGTTGATTACCTGGTCGTCTCGTGGCCTGCGACCAAGAACGTTGGGACCTCTATAATAAGTGGATAATGAGTTTGTGAAGCAGGTTGAGAGGCAGGGACAACTCACGTGCAAGGACCTCCTCATCTGACATGCGCTGGCTTTCCGGGATCTCCTTCGACGTGTTCGCACGAACGAGAAGCGTCAAGAGATCCCGCCCGCGCCCCGTCTCAAAGGTGCCATTTTCTGCGATCTCCTGCTTGCTCTCCTCGAGCAGCTGCCGTCCGATGCGCATCATCGTTGCCTGCGACGATTTGATGGTGTTGTTCCGTTTTGTTGGCTGAAATAGGATTAATTCCAACAGATGAACGGACAGCCAGAGAAGCGCGCACTATGTTGCCCAGAACCGGGAAGAAAAGCTGCAGCAGCATAAACATAGTGAATCCCGTCCTCCTGGCGAAGACAGCGTCAAAGGCCTGCGCGAGCTCGTCCGGTGTGTCG